GCGCCACCGGCGGCCCCTTCCCCGCCTGAGAACCGCACCAGCCGGAGCTCGGCCGGCTTCTCCCACCGGCGCCCGGATATCTCGGCGTCGGGAGAACCCTCCGCCTCATTTCCAGTACTCAATTAACCCTCCGTATTATCCGCTCCGCCACTAACACCCATCCCAAAGGAATGACGCTTTACAGGACCGCCCTCCGCACCGCGGGTGCGGAAATTCAGAGGGTTTTTTTTGCCGGCGTTTACAGGCACGAGCGACCCAACGCGCCCGACGGCGGCCCCGACCCCGCAGCAGCCACCAGCCCGGTCTCCCGCCGTACCTTTTCACCCGTCATGGCGAAAGGAGCGTTAAACCACTGCTCGAACGTGCTGCAGCTCTTGAAGATGGTGGGCAGGAGGGAATTGAGCAGCGCCCACAGCTCGGGCAGCTTGTTCTGCAGGGGGGTTCCCGTCAGCAGCAGGCGGCGCGGGGCCACGTAGTGGGTGTTGAGGACCTGGGTGAGCTTGCAGTGGTGGTTCTTCATCCTGTGGCCCTCATCCACGATCATGTACTTCCAGCGGATCTGCGGGAAGGAGAAAGGCGGTGTGGGCAAAAGGGAGAGCGGCGCTCTGCACCGCAGCGCCTTCGCCGAGCTCCAGCTACGACCGGACGATCCCGCCGACAGCAGAGGCGTCCCGCAGACGGGACCGTGGAAAACCGCCCTGAGCTCTCCCAAGGTCCTGCGGGGGGGAAACGCTCCCGTCGGCAGCGCTTTGCGTCGCGGGCTGAGACGGAGACGGAAGGAGCGGGGAGGAAGGCAGAGCGCCACTGCCAAACAGCCGGGGGAGACTGACGCCAGCTCCGGGGAATTTCAGTGTTTCTTGAGCTTTTTGGCCGTTCATAAATTAAACCGCATTTAAGTCTCCGCAGTACAACGGCAAAAAGAGAAGAAGCCGTTCCGAGCTGAGACACATCGGCTTTAACGCATCTCACACGCCGGACCGGCGCCGGTCCCCGCTGGGCCGCAGAACCGGTTCTACGCGGAGATTAAACCCGGGGCCGTGACCCGGCGCGTCGTCCGGCTGCTTTCGAGGCGGCACAACTTCCCCAACCCGGGGAGAAGCATCAGCGTTTGAGCTTCACCGCGCGGCAGTTGGGTCAGTACGGAACAACCCCCGCGTCCCTCAGCTAGGGCGGAAGGGCAGCGCCGCCGCCGCGGGAGTTCTAATAAATACTCGTCGTCCTGTGAATTGCTTTATTACACGGCGGGGAAAAAAGGTATTTGCTGTATCGCGGGATACGCAGCCAAAAATAAACGAGACCGCTACGTCAGCTCGGGGCTGCTGAGGGCGGGCAGCAGCTCCTCGCCTCCCGCCACGGGACGACGAGAGACTCCAGAGGTAAAAATCTCACTGAAGAGGGGGGAATCTTTCCGACTGGGACCATCTCGGTGATGTCCGCGCGGTGCCCAGGAGCAATTCCTCCCGCCGCAGCCCACGTAACGCCGCCGGCGGGACTCACCTTGGCCAGGATGTGCTTGTCTTTGATGATGTATTCGTAAGTGGTGAGCAAGACATTGAATTTCCCGCTTCGGAGCTGAGGTACGAATGCCCGTCTTGCTGCCGGAGAGCCCTGGCGAGGGAATTCCAGACAGCAACGTTAAACCAAGAGCGTCATTTCCAGGAGAAGAGAGGGGGTGGGAGTAGGTATTATCCACGGGGAAGGATTGTGCCAGCGAGAACACCTGCACGGACGGTAGCTGCTGGATTCCTTCTGCCGTTAAGGAATCAAAAAAACCTAACGATTCATGGATTTAGCACCAGGAAGCGTCCCGGCTCCCGTGGGATAATGGAAATACTGTGAGAGCGGAAGGAGGAAAAGGCGAAGGGGCAACCGAGGAGTCCTCGCGAAAGCAGCGGCCGAAGGAGCCCGAGAGGCACGTGCGAAGTTAACGCCGGTACTTGCCTTGTACGAGACCTTCACCACGGAAGGAGCCCATTTGTCAAACTCGTACGCCCAATTCGACAGAGTTCTGGGGGGGGAAAAAAAAAAAAAAAAAAAAGAAAAAACACCTAAGAGAAAAGTTAAAACCAGCTCTCGCACGAGGGGGAATCGCACCGCAGAGGGTTTTCCCGCGCTGGGTGACGACCGGAGAGAGACCGGCACTTACGAGAGAGGTACTATAATGAGGAAGGGTCCGTTGATCCGTTTGTGCTCCATGAGGTATGTGATTAAAGCGATGGTCTGGATGGTTTTGCCCAGACCCATTTCATCCGCCAGGATGCCGTTCAGGTTGTTGTTGTACAGCGACACCAGCCACTCCAAACCTTTGATCTACGGTGGAAAAAAAGAGGCGTCGAGGGATGAAAAGAATCCCACTGGAGATGGAGGAGTCGCGTATCAGCTGTGCCAACGACCCGCGCGCCCCACCTCCATGTAGGCAGATGAGCTCCCTAGACGCTATTAACGATCTCATTTTAATTATTTAAAGCCAGACGCAGGCGTTAATGCATTCCTCGCCTCTCAGGGCGGCGGACACTGGCGCAGAGCTGCCGTTCTTTGTCTTAAGCGGCGTTATCCCACGCCAGACGGATGGCTCTGCCCACGGCAGCGTCCCGGCACAGCCCGAATCTCCGTGTCTCCCACCCAAACCTCCTGGCAGCGCCGGCAGAAGCCCCGGTAGGGCAGCGTGGCACGGCACGAGCTCCCTTCTGCAGCCCCTCACCTGGTACTGCTTGAGGACGCCGTTGACCATCAGCGTGGACTGCTTGTCCACCCGCTCGGTGACGGCGTGGGCCACGGCGTAGTACGACTGCAGGCCCCTCGCCAGCGCCTGAGACACCCCGTATTCATCGTCAACGTCTTGCTTAGCGTTCCTGCGGGGCGGGGGAGGGGAAAATTGGCGATGAGACAGACGATTCCCTTCGGAGAAAACTCCTGGGGAACCCCCACCCATCCCAGGGTGGTTCGTTTTCCCACCGGGCGCCCAATTCGGTCTCGTTTCGGTAAAACCGCTTTCCCCCCAACTGGGAGCGGAGCAAACGCTGCCCACCGAACTTCCCGCCTTTGACCCAAAACACACGAGATTCGCTCAAAGCGACTCTGAAAGAGCGGACGGCACGCCAGGTAAGAAGCAGGGCTCACTCGATAATGTGTCTGGCGTCCACTTCCGAGACGTCGTCGCTATCCGGATCGGGGATCTTCTTCTTCTCCTCCACGGGCAGGGCAGGCTGAGCAGGCTGCGGCTGCTCCTCTTCCTCCTCCTGCCGGGAGACACAAAACGCGCCCAACTGAGCACAAAGCCACTTGTTCTCCTTTACACAACAGCAACGGCGGCAAAACCTCCTCAGGAGCGGCCGAGCCCGCGGGCAACAACGGCAAAGGACCGGCGCCGAAACCCCCAGGCGCCATGCCAGACCCAGACGAGGAATATTTGGGAAGAAACCCGGGTCGCTAACGAACGGAGCTCGCCCGTCTCCTCGCTTTCCTTACACAGGTTTTTTTTTTGGTTTATTCTAAATACGTTCATTTGAGCTGACTGACACGGATCCGTGCTGGAAAAAGCGATCCCGGGGACGAGCTTAGGGCGGTACACGGGGCCGTCTCCGGTTCTCTCCGAAATATTTAAAATACGAAAGCGCCGGGGAGCCCGGTGCCACGTCTCCTTACCTCCTCCTCCTCTTCTGATCCGCTTTCTTCACTGTCAGATCTCGGAGCTACTTCATATCTAATTAAATACAAATATTTAATATTTAATTGCGAATCTGCTACCAACAGCACTCGACGCGCAGCATGAAAGCGGCACGCTTCTATTAACCCTTGCGTTAAAACGCAATTTTGTTACCCGTATCAATTCTTTTTTTTTTTAATTTATTTTTGAAATACGTTCCCCTCGCTCAGTTCAAGTTTCCGCCTGCCCTCGGGAAGGCGCAGGCGCCCCGGCGCCTCCATCCGGGCCATCCCACCGAGCCTTTCCCACCTCCTTTTGGGAGGCCGACGAAATCTTTCCTTCCCGATCCGCAGCCCCGCCGCTTCCCGAGGTTTGGGGGGGGACCCGTCCAAGCGCTTTCCTCCCCCACCGATCCCGTTGGGAACACCGATCCCAGTCCTCCCGATGGCACCGCTCCGGCCGGAGCTCCCCATTCCCCTCCGGGCTCCGGTGTCGCCACAGAACAGAGGGATGGGGGAAGGGGGGGAAACCGTCCCGCCGCCGCCGCGCCGGGACTCCCCCGGGGTTCATCTCCAGCCAGGCTTCCAGCTGCCCGGCTTTCGGCGCGTCGGTGCCGGTGAGGATCTTGCCGCTCTCCACGTGGATCACTTTGACGGGGAGGTCGCTCATTTGGCTCGTCTCGTCCAGCGGCTGAGGGATCAAAGGCAGGCTGCAGGTCAGAATTTTGGGTTTGTTTTTTTTTTTGCCTCAAAACAGAGCTTGCGTTTACATCGACATCTACGGCTTCGGCCAAACCCACCCCGGCACCACCGTGGGGAAGAAGGAAATGACCAACTGCTTTAACTGCCGTGTCAGCAGAGGACGGGCAAAGCTCGAAAGCTGACGGGATTTAACGTTTTGCTTCAAAAAAAAGATAAAAAAATCGATCACGAATCTTTGAGTGGGAAGGCACGTCCCGACGGCAAACTGCGTTGGCACAGGAACAATCTGAGACATCACTCGGAAGCTCTTCTGCTCGCGAGGGGGTTTGGGAAGTGCTGAGCGCGTGAGGAGCGACGCGCGGGGCCGGCGCAGCGCAGAGTTACGCGTCCCTCGTGGGCGACACCAACGCCGACCCGACCGAGCTCGGACGCAGGGAACCACGCGCAGAGTCGCCCTCCCCTGCGGCCGGGACGGAGCCCGTCCGAGAGAACCGCTCCCCTGCAGGACGGGCAGAGACATCTCTCCTTCCATCCGCACCCCGGTTCTATTTTAGGAAGCCTCAATGTAGCCGCCGGCTGCATTAGATCTCGTCAGCGGCGAGGCTCGTTAACGGGCCTTTCCAGCGCGCGGCTGACGGTTCCTACCCTACTTGGCACGGCGCGAAATAAGATTATTGGGCTTACTTCGCCATCTGGTCCGATCGCCGGAGTCTGCCCTTCGGCGTTCTCTGCCTTCTGGAAGAGGAGGGAGGTGGTTGTTAGCGACCCAGCGCCTCCGCGGAGACACGTTCCTGCAGCTCCCGGCGAAGCGTCGCTTCCCACTCACCTTCTTTTTCTTCTTCTTCTTCTTCTCCTTGGCCACCTGCGCGGCCTTGTGCTGCCGCACCAGCTCCGTCAGGTTGGCGACGTACTCGTCCGTCTGCTGCAGCAGGTAGGCCAAGCGCTTGTCCTTCTTCTGATCGATGAGCTTACGGTACCCCTCCTCATCCTCCGCCTGACGGAGAGGGAGGTCTCGTTAGCGCCCCGCTCGGCGAGACGAGCCCTCACCCTCAGCACGTAACGGCTCATCGCGGACCGCTTACCATCAAACGGCGCATTCGCTCCTTCTCGATCCTCTCGTTTTCCTTCTTCTGCTCGCGCTCCGTGTTGGCGTGGTAGGTAGCCACCGCCTTGGTCAGCTTTTGGATTTTGCCCGTGACGGAGCGATGGTATTCCTTGAAATCCTTAGCGTGCTGGAGAATGCTGTTGAGGTATTCCTACGGGGAAACGGGACGGCAAACGGCAGCGTCAGGACTCGTGCGCTTAGAGAATCCCAGACTGGTGGGGGTTGGAAGGTCCCTGTGGAGCTCATCTAGTCAACCCCCCCCGGCAGAGCAGGGGCACCTCCCGCAGTGGCACAGGACGGCGTCCGGGCGGGGTTGGGATGGCTCCAGAGGGGGAGACTCCCCCACCTCTCTGGGCAGCCCGTGCCACTGCTCTGCCGCCCTCACAGCAGAGAAGGCCCTCCTCAGGGTGAGGTGGAACTCCCTCCGCTCAGGGTTGTGCCCGTTCCCTCTCGTCCCCTCACTGGGCACCGCTGGAAACAGACCCTTCCCATCCCCCGGCACCCTCCCTTCAGGACTGAGAAGATCCCCCTCCGGCTGCTCTTCTCCAGCCTCAACAGCCCCGAGTCCCTCAGCCTCTCCTCCGGAGAAAGACGCTCCGGTGCCCTCATCGTCTCCGCAGCCCTTTGCTGGACCCTCTCCAGCAGTTCCCGCTCCTTCTGGACGCGGGGAGCCCCGAACTGGCCACGGCGCTCCAGATGTGGCCTCCCCGGGGCAGAGCAGAGCAGAGGGGGAGGATGACCTCCCTCCCCCTGCTGGCCACGCTCTTCTTGATGCCCCCCGGGATGCCCTCGGCCGCCTCGGCCACCAGGGCCCCTTGCTGCCTCGTGGCCGTCCCGTTGGCCACCGGGACTCCCGGGTCCCTTTCCCCAGAGCTGCTCTCCAGCAGGTCACCCCTGACCCGTACCCACCAGGGGGTTATCCCTCCCCGGGCACAGCACCCCACACTCGCCCTTCTCAAACTGTAGAATATATACTCAATAACAGAGTATTTTGGTTGGAAGGGACCTACAACCGCCATCTCGCCCAGAGAGGATCTTTCTCTAAGCCCCTAAAAAAAGGCAATTCCCTACAAAACTCCCGCCCGGCCAACTCCAGCCACCCAATTCCCCCGCAGGCGGCTGACCTGGTGCTTCTGCCTGCGTTTCCGTTCTTGCTCGATCTTCTGCTGCTTCTCCAGCTTCTCGGTGATGCGAGCCTCGCGCAGGGACTGCCGCTTGCTGCGCTTGTAGGCCTTGGCGTTGAGGGCCGTCTCCAAGGCTGTGTCTCGCCTCATGCACACCACAACTTCCTGACGCAGCTTTTGGAGAGAGGCAGGGTAAAAAAAAAACAAACAAACAAAAAAACCACCCCCAAATTAAAAGGGAATTAATTCCACAGGCAACGCCACACGGTTCCACGCCACCCGCGGCTCCCGGATGCAGCGAGATCCTCAACCAGATTTCCCCCAACGAGGAACTTACCTGTCGCTGAAAATTGAGCAGCCTCAGTGCTTTAAGTTCAATGGTAGCTTTGGTTCTCAGGTCGCCGGCCAGGGAGCCAGGAAGGTTTTCCAGCTCTTGGATTCTGTGAGCAATGCGAGCTTGCAGCCTGCGGAGGAAGAAGGAGAGGGGGATTTCAGGGCGGGCAGAGAAGAGCAGAACAAATTCCCTGTGGCTCCTTCTCCCGGGGAGAAGCTGCCGAGTCCCCCTCCGGGTTGCGGAGGCTTTATCTCAGGCGGGACGGGGGCTCGGGGCGGCTCAGAGGCCGCGCGGCATCCAGAGATGGAACTCAGGTGGACGGGCACCCACAGCCTCTAATGAAACAGCAGAGCAGCGACAATCGCTGGGGGGCAGGAGGGATGAGATTTTGGGGAGGTGCCTCAAGAAGCTCCAAGGAGAACGCACACCCCCTCGTCTCTCCAGATCTCTCCAAGTCACACGTTAATAACCACAGAACGGTTTGGGCTGGAAGGGAGCTTAAATCCCCCCCAGTGCCACCCCCTGCCCCGGGCAGGGCCACCTCCCCCCAGCCCAGGTTGCCCCAAGCCCCGTCCAACCTGGCCTTGAACACCTCCAGGGATGGGGCAGCCACAGCTTCTCGGGGCAACCTGCCCCAGGGGCTCACCGCCCTCACGGGGAAGAATTTCTCCCGAGATCTCCCCTAAATCTGCCCTCTGCCCCTGGTCCCACGGCTCCCCTCCCCGATCCAGAGTCCCTCCCCGGCTCGCCCGGAGCCCCTTCGGGCACTGGAAGGGGCTCTGAGCTCTCCCCTTTTTCGCCTTCTCTTCTCTGAACCCCCCAACTCTCCCAGCAGAGGGGCTCCAGCCCTCCCAGCATCTCCGTGCCCTCCTCTGGCCCCGCTCCACCAGCTCCGTCTCCTTCTGCTGGTGGGACCCCCCGAGCTGGAGGCAGCACTGCAGGGGGGTCTCCCCAGAGCAGAGCAGAGCGCAGCAGAGGGGCACAGTCCCCCCTCGCCCTGCTGGCCACGCTGCCGGGGACGCAGCCCGGGTTGCCGGTGGCTCGCTGGGCTGCCATCACCCATTGCCGGCTCACGTTGAGCTTCTCATCACTCAGCCCCCCCAGGTCCTTCTCCTCAGGGCTGCTCTC